CGTGAAGAACTTGCAGCTGCTGTGTATGTGATATGACGGTAGTTTTCTCAAATGAAACAGTAAATGCTAATGAAGTGACTCTCAGAGCAGCTGGAGATGACATTCGTGTTCATATCATCATACAGTGAGACAGCAGAAGCTGAAAACACCGCGAGTGTCATCCGCGCTTTAGTATGTGTAAACAAAACTTCATTAAAAAAAATTCATTGCGGAAATCATGGCGCCTTATGCGTGATATCAAATGCTTCCGCAGATTTATAGTATTACTATTGCATTTCACCTGAGCATTGCGAATCATGCGTATGGCCATGAAAAGCGCAGAATGAATGACAGGCTTTCTGTTGTAACATAGCGCAAGGTAAATAAGGGTGACATCTAGTGGAGAAGACTAATGATAAGATTCACGTTAAATCAGATCTTGTTTTAAATGTGCTGAAATAAATCCCGGAAAAGATCGATTTGCGGCTTTTGAGAATCGATATCGAATCGATGTCATTTTAAAAAACGATTAATCGAAAAATAGATTTTTTTGCCCAGCCCTAATCTTGTAAGAGGTGCTCCCTTTACACAGAGTGTGCCTGATCGTGAAATCAACAGTGAAAGTGAACCGCGAGCGCTCATTCAAAAGCGATTTCAATACCCCACATATTGATAGTGGCTCCCTGATGCACAAAAAATATACATTTACAATATTATACAATGTTTGTGGGAGCGGACACAAAAATCGCGGGAGCACAAAACACACATTGCGGGAGCGAGCGGTAATTGTCAGAAATCCAGCGGGAGCGGCATTACGAAATAGTCCCACGCAGAGCTCTACTCCAGACTATCCGTTTAGCAAGTTATTTATTTAGTTAGTTAATTAGTTAAATAAAAACTAGACGAGTTAGGCTTGCTATTTATTTTTTATGTTTGACGAAAAAAGACTGACGGTTCTTTAAAGGGCATAGAAGTTGTCAGTGTGTTTTCGTTTTGTCATGTTAATTTGTTAAGTGAAAAATATTTAGTGTAGGCCTATTTATTTTATTCTTTTTTATTTATATTATTTTATTCTGTTTTCCTGTTCTCAGAAGCGCTGCAGGTGCGTGATAACTTGACGATGTGTGAATCCAGGTTCTGTTGTTGCTCTGTATGCTACTGTTTGCATGTTAAAATAAACTTGTGAAAAAAAATGATTTTTTTTTTTCTTTTTTAACGGGTTTTAACACAGACATACACTCATCCATTCTATTTTTATTTAATGGCCTACTAATTTATTATTGTAATCTTATCAGTTAACAGTTAATGTTCGGATAACAAGCAGCAGTTGTCGGTCAGGAAAATTAACCGAAATGAGCATCCCTAGCAGAGATGGGCACTCGAGTTAGCGAGTCGCATTTTTATAGACTTAGACTTGACTTGACTTCAGACTCGAACTGCAATAACTCCAGACATGACTCTACTCAAGTAAAAGGACTCGTGAATATTTTAAAAGCAACTCGAGTCTTTTATCCTTAAATACTTATATAGCATAATGATATTCGACAGCATCCGCACCCTGGCATCCATCTTGTCCGTGAGCCTTAACAGCAGCACCATTTTAAGTGAGCAGCGCGTCAAAACAGCAGAGCGGATCGGATCACATAACAAGCGTTCACGGTCGTTTATGGTAAATATCTTTCAGCGCTATATTCTCTAGTATTTTTATCTAAAGCCAAACGTGCTTTATTCAAGCCCTTTCAGCTCCGTGCACTTTCTCTCTCACTCACTCTCTCTCCGGACGCGTGCTGGCGCCAAGTTTAAGAGCTGCGGATGATGCGGTTATTTTAACAACAATAGAAACACGGTGAGCAGCAAAATTATAGATTACTTTCACTAAAACACAGCAGAAAACATCAATGCTTCAAATATAGTTACTTATCTTACTATTTATTTATCTATCTATAACCTCTGACTCTGATTGCTCAAACCAGATGTGACAAGACGTTTCTGATCTACAGAGAGTTAATCTGTAGGCTAGGCGAAAGCAAAAGCACTTTATTTGGCCTTCCGAAAGTAGATGCATTTAGGAATCTTTAAGATTACTTACAACAGAACAGCAATGCATTTTATGGACGACCGTTTCGTGAACCTAGGAGAGGAGGTAATTATGACTTTGCTATGACAATCTGTCGCTTCTGAATCAGCTACTGTTTTGTTATTAGTTTAAGTATTTGCTATTGACTGTTCAAATGCGGAGTTTTGCGCATCGTGTGTGTGTGCGTGACAGAGAGTGAGAGTGCACGAGAGAGAGAGAGAGCGCGAGAGAGAGCGCGAGAGAGAGCTTTTCTGCTCAAGATGAGAACGTTTTGATTATTGTAGCTACATTTGTTTTCAGTAGGCTAGATACTGCTTTTAGGTAAAATATTAAAATGGTAGCCTATAGATTTCAGGAGGAAAACCCTGAAAAGAAATTATGTTTTCTGTCACATGGCCTCGCATGTTTCTACATGTAAAAATACAATACATGTAAAAATGTGTTTTGTTTTTTTGTCCGTACCTCTGCTTGGAAGAAAATATAGAGGCTGCACCTCTTTGAGAGCGCTTCATCACTGTGTCTGTCACGAGACTCTGTTCCCCTTTCGGGCTCTGTCTTTGCATTTATTTAGAGAGATGAAGCTCGCGATTATGGTAAGGGGCGTTACATTTCCAACGAGTGCTTGCGGTGTTCGGCCAATCACAATGCACTGGGTCAGCTGGCCAATCAGAGCAGACTGCGCTTGTCGGAAGGAGGGACTTTGTAGAAAACGAAGCGTTTGAGAGGCGGGGCATAGAGGACCTACAATAATGTACAGTATTTGAAAAATAATGTGTTTTTTGAACATTAAAGCATGTCAACATATTCTGTTACACCAAATACACAAAATAATGATCTTTAAAAAAGCATCATATGACCCCTTTAATTGAATACTCCTGACTTATATCATAAAGAAATACTTTATTTGTATGGTTTTGTAATATCGGTGTCACATATTTCCTTATGTGTCATGGTAGATTGGACTCTTATTATAGAATTTGATTACAGAAAAACTGTTTTGAACAGGGTAATAGATTAAAATATAAGTAACAGTCTAGATGTACATTAACCTTACATCTTAACAACTCTTCTTTTTTTTTTTACAAAGCAGATCATAGGTAATATATTTTGTCTATAGCCTATAAAACTGCTTCATATATAGGAAGATTTAAATTCACGAGGATTCAGAATGCTATTTTTTTAGCGAGCCATTAAATGACTTGAGACTTGACTTGGACTCGTGACCAAAGACTCGAGACTTGACTTAGACTCTAGCAATAAAGTCTTCAGACTTGACTCGGACTCCAAGTTAAAGACTTGTGAACATCTCTGATCTCTGGTGAGGGGGTCTTACCTTGGGCCAGTGCACCGGTGAGAGCTGAAGGGACAGACAACAGGCCCTGTCTCTGCAGGTTGAGCAGGTGCTGCTGTTGAACAGAGAGTAACTGCTGCTGTATAGCCATCTGCTGGGCCATCATCTGCTGTAAGAAATACAGAGACAGACACTTGACACTCCCAGTACAGTCACTGCCTGTGTCTTCATTCACTCATAGCATCGTCGCACAGCCTCCACTTTCACTCAAGTGAGTAAAGCTGCAGACACCACAGCCGGTGTCTTTACTCACTCGCAGTACAGTCGCACTAAGCCATCAAAAGACAGAAATGTGGCAAGTGGAAATCTGGCACAGATTGCGATAAATGGCTCTGATGGTTCTCTGGGGTATATTATGATGCGGTTACCTCTTTACTGGGTTTCCCAGCATGCTGTTGCTGCAGGAGCTGCAGGTGGAGTTCCTCTTGCTGTTTCTTATAGAACTCCTGAAGCTGTTGCTGAGAAAACATTAACACCAAAAACAAGTCACGTATCGATCCAAGGTATTTTACACACTAGTGAGCGACTAATATATTGACCAGGTTGATTAATAATCTAAAATCTGGGCATTCTGAGATCATTTTGAGACATTTTTAGCTTATATGGGAGGGGAGTTGAGGACCACAGCCCTGAGTCTCTTTTAGTAACTACCTACACTAAATTACAGTGCTGGGCGGTATACCGGTTCATACTGAACACCGATGTTTATTTTTGTTATGATATGAATTTTTTAAATACTGCAATATGTCGCTTAAACAACGTTCAGAACGCGACACTTTGAGAGGGGTCCCTTTTCACTGTTGCACTGTGGTGAGGGAACAGCTGTATGTGTTACTAAGCGTGAAAGTTCCGAAACTGAAGCTGTAGAACTAATAGAACGTGATGACACAGAAGAACTCATCCACAATATCCACATTGACCGCCACAAATATCCACCACCCCCTGCCATCAGCTCCTGCGTCTCACACACACGAGCGAGACTTTAGCACTAGATTTAGCAACTTTCAGACCCTTTTAGCTGCTTTTTTCCATAGAATATTCATACTGACAAACCTAGCGACTTTTTTGGATAAATATTAGCTATGGTTCAGTTGGAAGAATTCGCCAGTGCTGTCCCGCGAACGCGAGGTCTGACTTTCCCGGAGAAGTGTCACCTCTCTCATCATCTGTTCTGTGCAGTGAGCGTCAGATAAGCGGCGCATTCAGTTGGCCGCACCGCAGCCGACTCGTCAATAAATGCGTACAAAACAGCGTTTCCAAGCACCTGTCGCTTACTGATTGTTTGGAATTATAAATATGAGCGTAGTTCTTCTGTTAATATCACATGCACTTTTTTGTTTGTTGTTGTTTTTTTAGTGTTACTCAGACACAGGCAGTGCGCTGCATGAGACAAAAAAGTAATATAGCCAAAACAACCGCATAGCCGCTCTTTAGTCTAGATGCATGTTGATTTTATCAGACGATGCCGCGATTATAAATGAGTGTGACTCCTGGTTATGTATTAAAAGGGGTCGTGTTTAGTCACTATTTAGTGTGGATTTTTTTACATTATTCACTCATCATGACAGTAAAATAGGGCATTCCAAGTCAATATACTGCAGTATTTCCTCTCTCAATCAGAAAATATGGTTAACACCCGGTCATGCATTAAAAAAAAATACCGTCATGTACCGTGAAACCGGTATAATTTAGAAAAATACTGTGGTATAAATTTGTGGTCATACCGCCAAGCACTACTAAATTATATTTTTTGTTGTTGCGGTACTGCAGATGCGAAGCTGCACCGCACTAATGTGTGTGTACCTGCTGTAACATGAGGGCCTGTTGTTGCTGCAGTAACAGTTGGAGCTGCTGGGGGCTCAGGATCTGCTGCTGAAGGATCTGCTGCATCTGCTGAGGGGTGATGGCCTGAGGAGTTATCATCCCCACTGATACAGCCACCTAGAGATACACGCATACAACCGCTTGATTATTTATCATGCAGTAGCTGTTTATTAGGCTTATCCAGATACCAAAAATGTAGTAGCCGATACCAATACCAGTGAAATTTCAGGACTGTCATGATAACGTAACAAAGTCTAATAAGCATTTATTACAATGTAAAATAATAATTAAAATATTTATTAAATAAAAAAAACATTGATTCAAGCTTTTCCAATTAAACAGTCTGTAATAAAGATGAATAAACAAAGTAAATTACCAAAAAATAATCAAATGTGAAAAACTACTAAAATTATTGCTTTAGTCTTGATAATATATTATCACTAATTCAGCACTGTCAGAATTTAACTGAGAAGCAGGTCTGTGATTAAAATTAGTATGCAGAGAATAGCAGCCTTTTATTCTTCAATATTTCCAGTAATTAATATTAACAACATAATATACAGCAGCAGGTCAATTAGGCTGCACTTTCACTGCAAGCTATAAAGCACACATCCAATATTTTGACAAACACCCAATGTTTTGTAACACTAATTTATATTCACTTATAAAAAACTGACTGCGTTTAGACAAAACTGACTGTGCTTTCACTAATAACAAGACACACATTTTAATCATCCTTACACACAGCCAGATCATCACAAGGTATGAGTGTGCATCCGGAAATAGTTAGATAGAGTGTAGGTATTGAATTAAGTCCGACACTCTATGAAGATTTTTTTAGGTGTCATTATCTTCTTATTTGAAATACTGATTTGGTACCAAAGTTACTGTATTTATGAAACTGATGCAATATGGACAATATGTCAAGCTGTAGGATGACGATACATTTAATAGCCTCTTCAAAATGGTTTTGATAGATTTCATCAAGTTGAACATGACTTCATCTGCACACCTTGTGATGTAAAAAAAGAAAGAAAAAAAAGCACATCACTAACTCCAAGAACAAAGGGCTTTCCACAAACCCAATTTCAATCCTCTTCCCTAAGGATAGTAAACACTTTGAAAACAAGTGAACAGCTAAAAAGAGATACCAGAGTAGGACTATGCCAGACCTCTTTGTATGTTTTATTGTTTAGACATTCAGGGAATAGTTTCCAAGTCCTCTGGGCCTCAACGGTCAACATCAACAAGACCAAGTAAACAAATACACAAACAATTTTAAAAACCACAATGCTTACAGTCCTCAATAAAATGCAAGGAGCCTACAACTGGAAAAACGTCTCACAAGCATTCATTTCAGTTATCTCCATTTAATTTGCCCATAAACTGAGGCAAACAACCAGTCAAGATTAAAAACACAAATACATTATTCATTTGTTGACAGCAGCTCAAACACTGACATTAAAAATGCTACCAACGAAAACAGACAAACAAAAATACCCACAACAGAGGCGAGTGTTTTAAATGTAAATGCACTGGATTCACAATGAGTTAGCCCATGCTTCACTTGGCCTCTAGCAATTACCACATCTCAAGCCAAACACACACACACACTCGCTGCTTTTAAGATGTTTACAATAAACATAAACAGAATAATTAAAGTCACATTTACGGATTCGTATAAATAATACATACTGGGGTACACAGCAACTGTAAAAACAAAACTGGAGATTGCATTTTAATTAAGCCTGTGAAACACAAACAAACACAAATTTCCAGTAAAGAAGTCTATGTTCAGACTCGTATAAACATACTGCTGGACTGAGATACTGCAACTATGAGAGAACAATAACAGCTGACTGTTGTACTCATATGATTTCCCATACAGTGTGTGCGCGCATGCATGTAGAGGGGTTGATCATGGCCCTAAATCCGGAAAATTGAAGAAATAGTTCACCCAAAAATGTAAAATCCAGACATTATTTAATTTTATAACCTTCTCTTTGATGGAACACAAAAGGAGATAGTTAGCAGAATGCTTACGCTGCTCTTTTCCTACTTGGCACTATTATATTACACTGACCTCAGATTCTCATATTCACAGGTGATTGGGAACTGTAAGGCATTTAAATGACACTTGTTCTATAATGAATAATTATATTAAATAATACATAATTACATTTATTTCCAAATATTTTCTTCTCAAAAGTACTAAAATACCTAGCAGTCTGTTGCCAAATTATGAGACAGTGCAGGGTAGTAACGGATTACATGTAATCTGGATTACGTAATCAGGTTCCAAAAATTATGTACTTGTAATTAGAGTATATCACATTTTAAAATGTTACTTTATGGATTACATGATTACATATTCACACAGTGGCAGTAAATTATAATTTATTGATTTCCCCTAATTCTTCATTTTTATCAACTCATCAACAAAGAACTTATCAACAAACCCTCTGTAGTTCTTATAATAAACCCAGATTGGGAAACCACGGTGTAATATAACGTTTAATGCATTTTATGATGTTGATATCACAAAATGGAATAGTTTTTCATTCTTTTTGCTTTTTTATATCAATGCGTTGCGTTTGATGGTAAGTTTAAAAGTTGGATAAAAAAAGTAATCTAAAAGTAATAAAAAGCCGGCAGAATACATAACCTAAAATGAGTAACCTAGATTACATAACTACAATTTTCATCATGTAATCTGTAATCAGTAACAGACTACAATTTGTAAGTAATCTAACCAGCACTGTTATGAGATAATTTCATGTATTATGCATTGATACGTATTGTAGCCATTATATTGCAATATATTGCGGCACAATATATTGTTACACCCCTAGTTTACAGACTTTTTAACGCAGCACAAAGGTGACAAAACAATGCAAAAACTGGAAAACTAAAACTCTACAAATAATTTCAATATGTATAAAAGCTAAATATTATTTATGGTAATATATTTTGCTTAATTATAACTAGGGATGCTCCGATCGATCGGCTGGAGATCGGTATCAGCCGATAATCACATTTTATGACTCGATCGGTACTCACTAACTTGGCCGATCTCACGAACCGATCGCAATTTGATGACGTCAACGCATGACCACGTACATGATGCGTGGGGACATAACTGATTTGGCGCTGCAGTCATGTAATCGCAGGTGTGGAAATGCTATGACGTTTTGAGAAACAATGAAAAATTTGCTATTTGTCGTGTATGTTTTGCATGATCATATGATGAATGGATGGTTCATTTTTAACAGCAGATTCAGTGACGTTAGAGCTGATCTGCGCCTCACTGAACACGTCTGCGGCGCATTACGGTTCCACGGGAACCGGAGCTGATCGCGGCCGCTCTAGTCAGTGCTTGTGTTTATACCGGCCATCCGCGGCACGTTTCTGAAGCGGCTCTTCACGCTGCTTGGCTAAAAATAGTATTTTGTGAGTTGTCACAGCGTGGAGGACGAAACAAAACCTCGTCGGAGCCGTAAGGGATAACGGTAACATAACACGCTGATCGTGGGCTGCTTTTAAATGCAAGTTTATTTATAAAACAAAATATCTTCTTTGGCCATATAAGCCTATTCAATAGCATTAACACAGGCTTTACTCCTTTCAAACTTTATGTGGAATGTCACTGTTTCTGTCACTGCAACTTCCCGATCAGGCAAACGAACACACGAACACACACACACACACACACACACACACACACACAAATTCGTCTGCCTCATGAAAAAAAAAAAAGTTAATATTTGCATCATTTATTATTTTTTTTATCCACCCACAAATAATCAGAATGCATTTTTTATTAACCGACCCGCAGATTATCCGCAGTGCCCGTGGATATAGGAAAAGCAAAATATGTTTGCTGTGTAAATCAGACGGACTTACTGAAAATGCAAATTAATTCTCTGCCAGCAGGAGGTGCTTTAAAGCAGGAGAAACAGAGGTTTCCCCAGTAACTGCTGTACACAAAGCAGCGCTGAGCTCACAAACGCTGCTTTATCAGGCATATAACATGCAAGATGAAATGAAAATGACATCTAATTTTTTCTAAAGATAGGCTTCCTTCAGAAATACAGTGATATAAAAACACCCGTGCCTCGTTTTGATTTTTAAACGTGCAGTACATGTTTATTCAACGAAGCCTTTTGGAAAATCGGTCAGTTTTGATATTGTGGCGAGTGCCACAAATAAATAAATGTATGGGAAACACATCCCACAGCACAGCCACCTGAGCCCAACTTCAGTCTACTCATCACCTTAACTTTAACGGTGTTTGTAGCCAGCGCCATAGCCAGACTGATAAACAAACACAGACCGGAAGTTAACTTCAGGCCAGGCGCGTGCGCCCAATGAAACAGTTTATATAAAGCTTGAAGCATCAGAATTGGAATCGGCCGATCACCATGACAAGAAATCGATACGGAGTATCGGCTGCAGAAATCCTGATCGGAGCATCCCTAACTATAACTAGTTAAAAAAACTGTTTCAGAATGTATCTTTAATTACATGTTGTCATGAAAACAACCAGTATGATTTTGCCTCATGAAAAACAAAACCCAGTAGGCCCTAGAAGCTCTTGGTTCAGTTAGAGTCAAACATGACTAAAATTAATGACTTGCGGTTCAGCAAGCGAGTCAGATTAATTCAGTAACTGCTGCAACTGATTCATGAGTGCTTTCCTGGTTGGCCGTGTGCTGCATACAACAAAAAGTGTTTATTTTTATTGTTTATTGTGGTTATTGTAATATTTCATATTGCTAACTCACAACTCAGCTGAAATATGATTTCTTCTGTCATGGCACTTTGGATTCAGTGGCGGCCCGCTGCCAGCCTTGCAGAGTGGTGCAGGAAACAAAGTGTTCCCTCTTCATCAGCAGAAGAATACACTTCTAAGAAGCTAAGAGGCAGCCTATATGCTGTATATACATGTCGCATGCCTATATTGTATACAGAACCACACATCACAGGGAAAGTTTTTCCATAAAAATAACGTACTGAAGAAATAGAAACAGTATATTTGACAAATTAACACAAACTGATATTCAGAAGTACTGCACTTAAAAAAACAGCCTAAAAACAAATGAAACATTTGCTTGTGAAAAAGATCCAAAAAGGCAAACTACTATGCATTCGAGTCTCAACACAGAAATATTTTAAATGTCAAAGCCTGAGAAGAACACAAGCATGCCAGCAAATTAATGTAAATATTCTCTCTCGGGGGCACAGTAAGCACTAATGAGTGTTGTCTCCATGACAACAGACAAGTCCAAACATTGTTTTGTTGTTGTTATTGCTCTTGCCAGTGTGTCAGAGAACCAACTCCCCATGAGTGAGTACATGTCAACAAGCGATCGCTTCTGAAAACACAAGCCATAAATCAACAGGCTTCAACAGCCCAAAAACAAATAGAGCCCGTTGTTATTCCCCTTCAATACCTTGAACAATTTTGGTGTGGTTCCCCGCCCAAAGAAAAAATAGCATTCTTTCCTGCACTGTGCATCTGGGTAAATATAAATTGCAAAGGCAAGGGGGGGAAAAAACAAGAGGGGAAAAAGGCTCAGTTCTGTGAACACTGCCTTTAAAAAGACAAAGAGAAGTAATTCAGGGAATAAAATTACAGCTCAAAGACAGTGAGTCACAGAAATAAGGTTCCAGTGACCATTCAAAGCTTTCAGCCCTTTGTCAGATCGGATACCACAGACCCTAGTGGTCATTCACTTCATTAATCACTCCCTCTTAAGATAGAAAATAAAGAGAGTCTCGAACAATTCTGAAACACAATACTCTTCTACAATGTCAGCAACAAATGATACAAAAAAAATCAAATAAGAATGAATCTTTAACAAATGAACAACTCGGTGCATTTTCAATTTATGATCTCGAAGTTAAAGAGTAACGAAAATTACAGTAATTTACAAAAAAATGCAATAAACGTTTTAAATAAAAGCACAGTGGGGAATCAGAAAATGTGTATTCATTTAATACACTGCCTGAAAAACACTCATAAAACTCAAACAGACATCCAATACCTGAACAAACTAAAGCAAACGTTCTATCTTTTGCCCTTTCCATCTCAGTACTCACAGACCTTGATAACTCCATGGGTGGCAGGAACAGAGAGCTGCGCGGAATGTTTGAAGACTAGAAAACACCAGTATCCTCCTACTGTTCTTTCAACTACCCAACCCCGATGACTAACCCACCACCTCCAATAATGCTCTCACTAGGATCCCAAACCTAATGTAACCATCCAGTCAGTCACATGGCTCGGGCTAGTAATCCCGCCCCTTGCACTTGCCATAGTGGCATGTTGATTTGAACTACTGACTATCTGAACCCTCGTTTCACCACTTGCATGCACATTCACACGAGACACACGTACAAGGCATTCAATTCATGATGAATAAATAAAGGCAGCTGTGCACTGGGTAGCATATATTGTGTTTGTTTGCAGCTAAAGCTCTACAGCTGTCTATTTCTCTTCAGTAATATAGCCTTATCTGTTAACTGGCATGACAGAAAATACTTTTACAATAGGCTACACACACAATAAAAGTGAACTTGTAATCTTCCATCGTAACAATGTGTAATAATAAAACACACCCTGATTGCCCCATCTCTTTATGATCTGTTGAAGGCAGCATAAACAAGTCGGTTTGTGTAATAGTGTAAACAACATGGTTCTCTGAAGGTGTATGTGTGTGCTGTGGGTGGAGGAGGGTATGGCTCTACCTGTGCGTCTGCCTCTTTTTCTGTGCTCTTGGGGGACTTCTCACCACTCGGTTGCTGCTGCTGCTGCTGTTGTTGTTGTTGAGCAACTTGTAGCGCCTGAAGATGCCAAAAAAACAATAAGTTTCTGATTGGCTTCTGAGCTGCTCTGGTCTCCCAGGACTATTCACATTGTTTTCAGGAACACAGATGCAAAGGCAACATATATCGTAATCAAGATTGGTTGATAATAAAGTGAAAGGTTTTTTTTGGTGAAACTGTTTTAAAGAAGAAAAAAAATGGAAATTGTCATTATTTACTGACTCTCATGTCAAAACAAACCTGTATGGCTTTCTTTTTCTGTGAAACAAAAGACACTACTATACAAAAATTTTCCACGAATGCTTTTTCATTCATGTTTCAATGAATGCTTTTGTTCAGTAAGGATACATTAAACTGATTCAAAGATGAACAGTAAAGATGTTTAAAAGAAAGATTTTATTTAAAATAAATGCAGTTTTTTTATTATTTTGATTTAAAGAATCCTATAAAAAAAAGTATATAACTGATTTCACAAAAAATTTAAAGCAGCACAACTGTTTTTAACACTGATAACAATAAGAAATGTTTGAGCAGCAAATCAGCATATTAAAATAATTTCTGGAGGATCATGTGACACTGAAGACTGATGTTAAAAATTCACCATTAACATCATAAGAATAAATTACATTTTAAAAATATAGAAAATAAATTATATAATTATATTTAGTTACATAATAGTACTGTTTTACTGTATTTTGATCAAATAAATCCAAATACAAACAGCTTTGGTTTACAAAAAAAAAACACATACAGGACATTTGGATAACTAGATGGTGAGTAAATGATGACAGACTTTAGATTTTTAGGTTAACTATCCCTTTAAGAACAACTCCACTGGATATATCCAAGCAAATTACGTTATGGGATTGATTTGGGCTTGATAAAATGATCACAGCCATAAAGTCTCTTGACAAGTCCTCACAGAACAAATGAAGTGATGATTGTGCAACATTTTTTTATTTAATAATAACCTGTGAAAATCCTGCTATGATAGTCTCACACTGCTAGTGCATGAAGTGCAGAGGATTCAACCTTTGGCTCTATTAACAGCCGCAGTCCCTTGGTGATTGGATCCTATCACACATTCCTCTGAAGACTATCACATGGTAACATTTGAAAAACATTAGCATAAGTCTTTGCATGAGACAATCTTAAACTGCTCTTTATTTAAACCAGAACATTATACACCTTCTGAAATGGAAAAAAAAAAAAAAAACAGTTGTCAGGGGGAAACAGCCACAAAGTAAATACCCCAGCTGTGCCAAAGCAATGAGAGGTCTCCAAAAGTTGTTGAAAGGACGTCTCTCTCACGCTCTGTTGCTTTTGTCTTATTTTCCATTGTGAGACCCTCCAGATGAAGGAAAGAGAAATGCAAATAGTGCAAGCGAACAATATCCACAGCGGTGGGACCATCCTCTCAGATCTGACCTCTTACACCTCTGAAGGGTCAACACATCTGGCCCTGTGGAACTCCCCTTCTCAAAAAGAAGGGTGGAGAGACGAGCAAACGGATATGGGAGACTTCAATAGAGAAGCGTGAATAGAAAAGGGAAAGCAGACAGATCATGACACAGTAATCCTTGGGAGATGAAAACAACATGGGAAAGCATTTACAGGAGCGTTTTAGAGCCTTCTCTCATTGTTTTAATACAGGACGGTGCCCTGAACCCACAGCTGTCTGGCGATATTCCAGAGGTGACATCACACATCTGGAATCTGAACATGGGGCATCGGGGCAATGTGTGGGGCTCTCTCAACATCAGTCTGCAGTACTTAGTCACTGCTGTCACAATTTTAGCATGTGCGTTCATTTTACGCACACACATATGCCGATAAAAGCATGCATAAAGATTTTTAGTGACAACAGGACTATTTCTGAGAGACAGAACACACATCAATGATTTAAATGAAGACGGGTGTGTCATACAATTGCTCAATTTTTCTAATAAGCAACAAGGCTATTGTGTAACAAATGTTGACATGCCAATAAAAACTTCATTACTTTGAGAATGCATTTCCTGGAACATTTTCAACACGTCAGTCTCATGTACCATGCACAGATTTCACAATTCGCTTCCGATTTAACTGCAATTTCGATTCAATTCGATATGAACCTCTGTGAGTTGACGCACTCAAAAATAAAATAAACTGTAATTTTCTCACACACATGTTGTTCTGAACCTATATGACTTCCTTTGAAACACTACTTTTAATATTTTCTCATTCCATTGAACTATATAAATCAACATCATAGCAAATTTACCATTACAGCTTTATACAATATTTACCATATTTGATGAGCTGTATGTGTGCACAATGATCTCTGTTTATGCATGAATAAAAGCCTAAATGAAATCTGTTCATATAAAGTCTCTACAAAAGACTTGGATTACACTGCATGATTCATATGGATGACTTTTAAGATGCCCTTTTGGTTACACAGACTTTCAATGAAGGAACAAAAAAATTAGAATATTAAAAATAACTTCATTTGCATTCCCAAGATGGGGTTGGAATGACAGGAGGGTGAGTAAATTATGACAATTTACATTTTTAGGTGAACTAAAAACAACATATTACACAACAGTAGGAGACGACAGTACATCTATTCTTTATAAATCTGTTTAGCTGGTTTCGTGGTATGAATCACACATTTAAAGTTCATGTCCCATATAAGTACTAATGCAAAATTATTTAACATATTAGGATTATTATTAAACAAATCTAGTATGAATTGGTTACATTTTATTTTGTAATTTCACTGACTTGATGAAGCTGTAACTGTACAGGGCTGCAGGGCTGTAGATCCATTGCCACTAATGGTCTCTACAATCAACTTGGCTCACAACGCTTTTGGGAAATTCAGCTCAGTGCTATCGACACTGAACTTTGGCTTCCGAAATTTTAGTAGTCTCAATGCAAAAAAAGAAACAAAACAATGACAAGAAACCATCAGCTAACATATTTTAAGTTAGTTAAAGTTCTTACCTGTGTTTGAAGTGTCTGGGCTGTGGCTGACGGGGATGAAGATGTTTCTCTGGTTACTCTCTTCTCGCTCTCTGAGCTCTGACCTTCCTGCCCAGCTGGACTGCTATTGGTTGTTTGATCGGTCTTGGACTCCTGCATGTCGATATGACAACCTGAAGTACAGGATGGGGAAAAATAAGACAGCTGCCAGCAAAACAAATTACTTTTGACACAGAAGTGCATGCTTTAGAAAGCCTTTTCCTTTCTTTTCTTTCTCCCCCCACATAAGCCCACAGACTAGATCATGACAAAACATGCGTGCCAGCAGAGTTGACATCACAACACAAACATTTGTGTTTGTACTGTTCACAAATATGATAGCCGCATTATAAACAAACAGTTCTGAGAATAAAGCATCTGATGCCAACCGACATGTTAATGCCAATAACAGACAATAACTCTCTAAAGACAAATCTTGTATAAGACAAATCAAAACTTTTCTTTATGCACCTTGTCTTTGTAAGGGGCCTTTTAAAATCAGATAAATATTTGTTTTGCTCTTGAACAATCAATATCCTGCGTCTTCCTTTCTTAAATTCGTCAAACATCTGTGTGAAACAGCCTGATTACATCAGAGTGTTTACAAAAAAACTGACACGAACAAAGACAACATTCCTCACAGCCTGATACAATCAGCAAAGAGAAAGGCCAGAGTTCTAACTGTACTTCACTTTCAGTATCAGAGATGCCGATGCTGGTTTCGTAATTAGAATGTTAATTAATGTGTTCATTATTGCAATTAATTATGAATACGTAATTAATTGCGCGTCCTGATTCACACTGCAAACTCCGTAAGGGATTTTTCTATGCCAGATCAAGTCATGGTTTACACATTAAAAACTTGAGGCTCATGGCGTGGGACCCTGAAAAAACAACAAGGCATGATGCAGCAGCCAAAGACACCTGTTTAGAAGTCTACATTGCCCAACAATTAAAAACAAATTATTGCAGATGGAACTAGGGCTGTCGCGATAACCGCAATATCACAATACCGCGCTATTGACGAGCAAACCGCAGAGGAATGCAAGAACCGCAGCAACCGCGATTTTTCCGTGTTTTATTTTTTCGTAAGGTTATGCCCTTCTCGTTTTACACTTCATGCATGTGGACTGAATATTAAACAAGTTAGTAATGATAACAATGTGTACCAAGCTGATTTGTACAGAGACTCCGTAGATTTGCACTTAACAAGCCTAAACAGACCGTGAATGAGAGAGAGCTCGACTGAGCGCGTGCGATTTACTTGCGTTAGAAACAACTACAAAAATATTTGTATGTATGTATTTATATATAAATATAAATATTTTATATATAAATCTAACATGTTTTCTTAATATATACACGTGTGTATTTATACATAAATAAACAGTACACACACATAGTATGTAAACAAACTTATTTTGAATGCGATTAATCGCGATTAATCGTTTTTTCAGCCCTACATAACACAAAACAAACAATATAGTTACAGTAAACAATATATATTTGACAATATAGCATTCTAAAGGTGCTTTTTGTCTTTGAATAATGTCTTTGAGTGGTTTCTCAGCAAATAGGCCTACTGATATACAATATTGATAAAACAAAAAGTTGAAGCATGCCTGTTTCAGAAAGCACAATTGTAAGAGGCAGGTTCTTACGAATATCGGTATAACCTGTCTACCTGCCTTCCACGAAGCTTAAAATAAACAATTTAAGACAATGCAGCTGCGTGGGCTATGTGTACAGTTGAAAAACAATGACATGTTTACAGTTTTCTTTTTATCCTGATGGCAAGAAACCACTTGTTTAAAGATGAACTGGTCTTTCGAAAACTCAAGAGTTATAGAAGAATATAGATCTTAACTTAATAAAACTAATTTTTAAGCCCTAAGCGCTTCATATAGCTCTCCCTTGTCTAGCTGAACATTTTCTCTGGTTCTGACATAGTGAAACACTCTCCCACACAAGGAAGCAGGGGCCGATATTTGTTAAATAACTGATTGCCACCATGACTACAGTAAACACTGGGGCCCCTAGGTTTGGTGTTTATTAACAAACACATCTTCCTTCTGGAGCAATTTAACATTAACCAGGTGGTACAATCTGCAGATCTGGCAGGTGCCATAATACACAGGGAGGGCCTTATGTAAACAGCTGAGAAGGGAGGGGGAACAGCTCGAAAAGCAACACAGCTAGAGTAAACAGCAAAGAAAATCTCTAGACAAACAAGCAACCCCTCTCCTGACATGAATGTGAACCAGAACAGAGCTCGTGGGATTTGAGTGCTTGTTATTTAGTGCTGCTAACACAGCCGCTGCCTGTTTCGGCTGGCAGAGACACAGAGTTGTACTTTCACTGAGAACGAAGGACAAATTTTAGATTGGTGTGGGGTTGTATACATGCTGCTGAAGTCCATGAAAAAAATATCAAGGAAGATATGGACCAAACAAGGAATGGGTAAACTTCTCCAATCATTGAGTTCTCATAAAACTTGCCCTTTTCCTACAATTGACGGCAAGCTCGCATGAAGATCTGTCTCTATACAATCAACAATCGATGGATAGAACCAAGCCCCCACACTACATTTTTTTAATTTTTGCTAATCCATTTTCACTCAGATCACAATACGGAAGAAAAGATCTGTCACTACTTCCATTTCATCATGACTTTATACAAATCATTAAGTGCCATCCTTCCGTGGCATTAAGTTGAATAGTTGGCGTCTATGGGCACTGCACAGTGACAACAGCTTGGTGAACAGATGTTTCACGTCATGGTTGAATGCTGAATTGACCAATCAGCATCCAGGACCAGAACTACTATCAGTTTATTTAAGAAAAAAAAATGCGCACTTGCAGAAAATCCATGCAAGAATAAAATGGCAGAGGAGAAAATCTGGAGCAAAACGGCATCCAACGTAGATTGCACAAATATCCAACAACTGAGAAAACATTTGAGCGCATGAAAAATATGACAAATATGTACTAAAAAATACACTGTACATAATGAGAGCATTACATTGTAATGCAACCTGTCCACAAATGTGGGGGAAAAGCAGGCCTACATGTGAATCATTACACCGTGTCATTCTGTCATAGGCTGACACCAGGCATGTTTGCTGTAAATAGATGTGTTAGAAACAACTACAAAATGCCAATCTAAACCAGTATTGGCCTGTTTGACTGTTTAAAAGAAACGCTAATGCAAGTTTGTTTTGGTTAAATGTTCTTACATTGTCAGAAACATGAAAGGGAACAAAAGCTCGTCAACAGTGTAACTGCTGAAGAATGTTTTGTGCATGTTTATTTGACATACACTGGCATCGGTCTATTTGCACAGATGATAGGCCTTCATCTCATGAACGTTTCTCTGCATTCCTAATGCCTCATTTTCCCATAGACACAAACTATAGCCGACAAGCAACACAAACATGAGGATTTTAGGGGAGAGGTGAAGCCTCTGAGGACTTCAACTGTCAGGAAGGGAAAACATACACCAACCTGAAGGAATGCCTTTGAAGTCTCAATGCGGAGATATTGATACATAACACAAAGTAGGAGGAAAGCAAAGTCATAAATGCACACTCTTGAGCTCTAAAGGTGCTTAATGTGATGCAGCATCAAGACGTGGCTCTTAAACGGAGTTAGAGTAATTAAATTAGCAAGATCATCATCAAAACATGTGTAATTATGACTAGGTCTGAGGATGGTGGGGTTTATCACCCATAATGCAACTGAACATTCAACTGGACAATTAATATGCCCAGGCACAGCTGTCTAATGTTGTTTACTTCTAGGTATTGATCATATATTAATCAATTCACTAGACCAAGTAATGAAGTAAAGAAAACATTCATCAGACTCAGTCTACCTATTAATTCTCCATAATAGCACGTATCTGTGTTTTTCACCTCAGCTATGGAAAATAAAAACCAGTTCATCAATAGCAGCCTCAGGCTATTCGGTTACAGAAATTTACACTGAACATAAACAAGTAAAATAAAAAAATAATAAACCTTGTGCGCAGTCTAGGAATGAAACACTAGATAAATAAATATTAAATACAGAGGTTTTGAAGAATGAAGATTATGTTTTAAGTTTAAAAGGGGGAGCAATATGTGGAGGAAAGAGGGCTCCTCCTATTAGGGGAAGATGTTGGATAAAGAGTACAGGGAAAGAAATAATGTTTGGCTAGTTAAATACATTTGACGAATAGTTCACAATATTATATTTTTACTTCTTCCATCAGATGAGGCATGACTGACACCACACCATCTTACTGACTGGACTGTTATATTAACGGTTATATGCTCTGAATAAAAGTCTAATAAAAAGGAAAGGAACACTATAGAAAGTAACAAACTTCACAGGACACAAGTCTATACACTAACTGGAGTTTGCTAACTGGCGATGCTTCAGTGATCACGCATCAGTTGTCTCTCAAAGGTAAGGCAGCAGCAGACTTTGCTTAAATTGCAATAAATTGCAATCCACTAACATTACACTGAAGTTGCAAAACGCCTCAATATTATCTATGATTTCCGCGATGCGGAAAACGCGGATGAAATCGCGGAATCCAGTCATATAAATGGAATTTACTGTATGACGCGGAATGTCACGGAATTTGTCAAAGTTTGAATGAATTAATCAAAAGTAGGTCAGTACACTTAAATAGAGTCGCTCTATGGATTAGTATCTTCATATCATTTACATAGACCTACAGAAAGTTCCTCATGGCAACCAGTCAACATAACGCCGCTCGCATCATTCACAGCCGGGTTATTAGCAGAGAGCACGGAGCAGGTCTTGAATTTCAGGCACAGGATTAATAATTACACTATTAATAATAATTCTACTCATTCCCGCAGGTTCCGCGCTTATAACGCGATGACAAATGACTGAACTTATCATTTGCACGTGCTTTTGAGTCTTGAGAACTCACTCGCACGCTCTTATTTTCTGTGTGCCCACAGATCGCGATAAGGAGAGTGACATTTTTTTTTTAAATGCATGATTTTGAACAGATGTAAACAATGGCAGGAGGCTTAAAAGTATAGACGTGATACCAGCTAAATTTAATTATTGTATGAATATTCTATGGAAAAAAGCAGCTAAAAGGGTCTGAAAGTTGC